ACTGCACACTAACACTGCTGTCGACTGTTTCCGTTCTGGTTTGCGCTCCTTCTGCCAGTCCGAAAGCAAAATGTGAAAACTACAACTCCCACACACAAGTCAGCAAGGTCCTCTTGCTGTGAGAAGACTAAAGCAACAAGCCGCTGAGAGGGAAACTCATTTCTACTAGTCTCCCACTCTCACATATTTGTCTACTTATTTCCACTACAACTACAATTGTATTTTGTTTTGTTTTTTAATACGGTTTTTCTCCTCACCAATGTCAAAGCCAAATGCCCTTCCTGGAGTTCCTCATCCCTTTCTTCTGTGTGGCATTCTTTTTCTGTCTACTCTTCCTCCTCAGTTCTAATAAACAACTGAATTATCTGACAAACCAAAAGGTTGTTGTCAAATTCTTCACAGCATCAACAGCTCAAGGATTACATTCACTTTTGCCTGAAAGCTGCTGCTACTGCTTTGTATACAGGTTGTGTCACATCTCTGTCACGCTTTAAATCCTGGCAGCTCCAGAAAGCAGAGCGTCTTCAGAGTTGTCTCTGCGACAAGCATGCAGGATATAAGTTTTCAACTCATTTATTGTTGACACGGAGCAGATGCTGTACCTGCATGCAGTCTCATCTTCATTTTGTTCCAAATAGTATGCAATAAATTACACTTCGAATAAGCAGAAGGAAAACTCCTGACAGTCATTTTTTATAACTGAAATTAAGGAAAATAGAATTAAGGGGAAAAGGGAATTGAGAAGAAAACATGCACAGTTTCACTAGACAACAGACAGTGTTGTGTGTGTATCACAAACATATTAATGTTAATAATTAATGTTAAATGGTTATAGCTTTGCCGTGTCTGGGTTTAATTTTTGCAGTAGCATGAGACTGTGCACAAAGATGAGACAGTTCAATGTGCCTCAATATGACTGTAATGATATTTAACACGGAAGAAAAGGGTGAAATTGTAAATCCAAAACTATACTTTCTTTCAACTATATTGTCATTATTAGATAAGAATACTCTGACATTATGCAATTGTCTAAATTTAAAACTGAATCTTTTACATTTTTTACCACACCTGCAATAATGCAGTGTTCTTTGTTTGTGTTTTTTAATATAACCTGTCTGTCTTGGCTGTCCTAACGGGCACATCTTTCCCACTGATGTGGTTTATATTCTGTGCAAATTATAGATATGATGCGACATCCCTAAACCAGGCTGACGACCATCACTTCTGACACTATATATGCTGATGATCGAACGATCAGATGTCACACCATGAAACGAGAGGCTTCAACTCAGTATGATGACTTGTCCTTTGACAGTCACGTGGTGTTACTGTACACCTTAACAGCATGTCCAAGTTGGGACGTGGTATCAATCACATCTCAATTAGTTAATTAATCTTTGACTACAAGTAAAAAAATATATATACATTTTTAAAAATCACTGCTTTTACATAGCTTTGATTTTTTTTTCTTACCAATGAAAAAATGTTATCACTGCTTTTACAAAGCTTTGATTTTTTTTCTTACCAATGAAAAAATGTTTTACATCTTCACAACAGACTACTTTGAAAATCTGAATGCTGTGTAAACATATACTGAGGAAACACCCGTCGTAAAAGTGATGAAGGAAAGACTTGACACAACATCATCTGCAGGTGAGAATAGCAGAGAAGTCTTTTTTTATCTGTGCAGATAAGTCTCGGTGAGTCGTGTTAGGTTGTACGGAGCACCTTCGACAGAATTAAGCTGCTCCAGAAACACTGTGTCAGCGATGTAATACCACACATCAAAAGGAGGGAGAACACAAACTGTGAGTCGGAACAGCAGGGGTCATACAAACATTAGACAAAGTATGCGAGCTGACGCATCAGTTAAAGGCCGTCAGCGATCCATTCACAGGCCGTCACCGAGGAGCTGATCACAGGGAGGAGGATACAGGGAAAGTCAGTTAGTTGGGTGAAGGTCAGAGCTGGAAGGGGCTGATAGTGAGAGTGGAGAACTGGAGCACACGCGGTGATTCACGGCTCACATTTCCACAAGCAATTCATCCTGGCAGGTGGAATGAGAGCAACACATGACAAGATCTGAAGTAAATAATTTAATTACAAAAACTTTTAAATAGTTAAATAGAGGTCAAATCTGTTAAAAAATTGATTTGATTTTTTTGAGAAATGTGTTATTCTATTCAATTATAAATTGAACTGGGAGGGTTTTTAAAAAAAACTCATTCATTACAAATCATTATTGATTAAGATCTTTTTTTTAGCACATGCCTAAATCATTCCACACGATACAAATGTTGTTCTATTCCATGCAAGTTTTACTGCTAATAATAATCAACTTTCAGGAAAAGAGCCACACTAAAAACCTGCAATTAACTGGCCTGATGATGTCAGTTTACCCAGCAAATTATAAAGCTTAATGTTTTTAAAGAATTAATGAGAGGAAACAGTTTGTTAAATTAGGACTTTCTGAGATATTACTGCGCAGTTAATGAATGCAGTAAAATCAGGGCCGTGTGACACAACCGATTTGAATTTAATGCTCAAGTACAACAGAACTGGAGCAGATTACACTCAGAATTTCAGATTTGGGTCAATAATGCTGAGTGACAGTTCTGCTGATAGGAGGGCTAGAGCTTTTCTCTGCTCCTAGCAGGCAAAATATCAGTGCCTTGCAGCAACCTCACAGCAGGTGGGAGCAGCGCACAGCTATCTAGCAGCATGAGCCTTTTGTAAAACAAGGCAACAACCTCAAACTATACACACGATTGCGTTTAGGTCGTGTGAAAATACAGGGTACTATAAATACTGAAGCAAGTTTAATTGTGGCCTGATGATGAAAATATATGAAATGTACGAATACGTCACAGCAGAGGTAGCAGATGGTCACTTTGATGAAGCCCCCATAGATAGATATGAACTGCAACGTTGAACACCAGCGTTCTCTTTATTCGTTTCGAGTTGACTTAAATCAGTGCTAAACAGAAGAGTTTGTCTGATCTGTGCTGGTTAGCTCGTTGACTAGATCCGCGTGCTCCCTGGAATGGGACCGTTTCTCAGAATAGCCAACGGCAGATGCCTTCCTCCCCTGTGTTATTTGGAGCCCAAGGGCAGTGGAATCAAGCCTCTTCTCTTGCAGGCTCCTGTAATGTGGATCTGACTCCGGGACAGACCCGAGCAGTTGACGCCAGGTGAATGAGAATTGTCTGTTTTTGAAGCAGAGTTCACGCAGGCACTCAGCGTGTGCTTAATAACCAGACGAAAGTGTGTCGGTGGATCACAAACGAGAAGAATATTTTTAAAGCATGAAGTGTTCCACAACTTCAGGAGCCTGCTGAGCCACTAAACGTTTCCCTCTCCTTAAATTTAATGCCATGGCCACAACAAAAAAGTTTTTTCAGGACTGTGTACGAAAAATGTCTGGTTTTCAAAAATGATGGTCTCAAATCCACAAACACTGCCCCAAGTGCGTTTTTGGGGGCTTGGATACACGTAGCTTGTGTCAGACCACTCTGACCAGGTGCTGGGCAGTAAGTTAGTCTACAAGATGACTGACATAATTGTCAAATGATTTTCCTTGAATATCGTTATTTTTTGTTTATTGACCAAACAGGATAAACTGACGTTGTCAACAAGTATTTCTACGGCCCTAAGCACCGTGTGAACGATTAAACTGCTGACTAAATATTGCTTGATGTTGAAATGAACAGATGGTAGCAGTGATGGCTTTATTTAGTGCTGTGTTATTTTATATTGGAACAAATTCACAAAATGCACCAACTTTTACTAAATTGTGTTTTACAGGCTTTTTTGTATTTTATACATTGTATGGATGTATTTTTTTAAACAATAAAGACAAATTGACATCATGCACAGCACACAGTAGCCACGACTGCTGAGAAAGCCACAGGAAGTGGCTTCATCTCTTATCAAACCCACTCAACACACCCACAGCACCTGCTCCAACAGCAAATGCATCTTGCTGAGAGTTGTTTATACAGACATAGCTGCTGTGGGAGAGTCCAGATCACCTTACTCATCAGACCTCAGGCCCAGGGTGTGGTGAGGGTGAAAATAATATCACCAACTCAAATGTCCTGCTGTTCATGCTCTGTGGACTCTCATTTTGGCTCCAGGAAATACAGTGTGGATTCTGCTGGTCACGTTTGGTGGGAAATTGAAGCCCAGGCGGTTTTGATGAGCAAGGCCTATGATTTTTTTTAATTGCTGCTAGACACTCTAACCAGCACCAACACAGAAAAACAGCTCTGTAGTAAGGAATGTCTCGGTTTTAAACACGGAAATCAATTTTCAACCAAACTCAATTGCCACCAAACCACAGGGATCCAAAAAATTCCAGCTATTCCATTCACTGCAGACAGGTGCCAAAAGCACAGCACGGGCCACGTGTCTTCTGCCCCACAGAGAGCTACGACTCCATGAACTGCATTTTTGAGTCATGATATTTAACCATTCTAGTTAAAATATTTCTAAATAAGAGTAGGTGTAGTGTATATGATTCAAGAGCAGTTACACATTTGTTTTCCATAACGCAAAAATAAAATTTTGTCAAACCGCACTCTATATGCAGTATAACGCAAAAATAAAATATATTTTGTCAAACCGCACTCTATATGCAGTATGTAGTACACACTATGAAATACTGCCAACAGAAAGCCACAAGTTATAAACAGCAAAAAGAGTTAGTGTCATTTTCACCTTCTTTAAACCAACTTAACAAGAAGCTTTTCAAGCTAATCAGCACAGCAGATATTGTTCACTATTTTTATCTATCACACATTATCAACTTCCAGTCATTGTGGAACCATATTAATAGATCTCCGACTACAATTGTGCTAAATTGTAAGTAACAACTGTTGACCTCCTTTGGAGAGAAGAAACTCATTTTTGAA